GCAAAGTTGTACTTCTTATGTTTTGTCTTTTGGGGAATCAAGCAAGCAAGCTCAGGCCTTATCAGGGAGTGGAGGCAACCATCTCACTTTTTCAGCAAACACCTGCATGCCTGATTTGGCCAATGCAACCAGAAACAAATCTCTGTTAAATTGTATTGGTTTCTCTTCCTTCTCTCAATCCCTGCCCTCCAACCCCCAGATGTTCTGGATGAATTGGATGACTACATTGGCAAATAATGTGGGAAATGCTCCAGGACTGGAAGAGATTGAGTTGTCTTATTTTCTGTTGACCATATTACATGAAGTCAAGGTGAATCAGCCCAGAGTCCCCCCCCCCGCCCAATCTTTATTTTATCCCTCCACTGCTGGGGTTTCTACTCTTTTTAAAATCATATCATTATTCATATCAGTTCAGGCAGTGTGATCACTTGAGCAGATGCGGGGTGTGTGTGTGTGTGTAGGTTGCCATTGGATTTAAATCTATTCCAGCTGAGTCCAGCAGCAGGGAGAGAGGCAAGGTTCTGGGGAAAGTGGCATTTGAATCCTCTCTTTCTCACACCTGGAGCCTGGATCTGCATTCAGCTTCCCTGCCTCCCTCCTTCCTTAATTTCACTGTTCTAGTGCTCATGCAGCTAGGCAATTAAGAGCAAGGAATTGGCAGAGGAAGACGTTTTAATGCAATTCTGTTCTAACCGTCCCTCTTCCAAATCTAGACATTCAGAGCAGAGTTGCCTTTTCAAGCTGGAAATAGGGCTGAACTGAAAACTTCCTCCTGCATCTGCCAATTCCTCCCGTTGACTGGTGGGAGGCAGACATTTTAAGAAAAAGAGGGCTGGTTGAACATAAAAATGGAACGTTGCCAAGCATACCTGGAGAAATAAGGGAAGGAGAAAAACAGGTACCGCCAGGGGAGGGAGATAGGAGGGAGGTGCCTCTGAGGGGAACATAAGACTTAGCTACTGGGGTAGGGGGGAGAGATGAAGAAAAAAGGAATGGGGAAAATGGGAGAACCAGAGAGGGATAGACGTTCGGGTGGTGGAGAGGAGAGGAGAACAACCTAACTCTACAAATGTGTGTGAGCGAAAGCGAGAGGAAAACCCTCAAAGAAGCTGGCATCAATAGTAAGTTAAAAATAAGCAAATTCTTTATTTGTTCAGTCTTTCCCCTTGGATCCTGCTAATGGACCACCGAATTTTGTATCATCTGTTTTTGTGTGAAACTGAAACTCCAAAACATGTTGGTGATTTTAGACAGCTGCTGCTGACTTTCCCCGAGGCTGAATCTGGTGGTCCCCTGAACAACGCGCCTGGGGTGTCTTTGCTGAAAGAAACCCGGCTGCCCGCCTGAAATCACATGAACATGGCCAGTGGCGCCCCTTAGAAGCCTCTGGGTCGTGATTTTCCGTTTGTTGGAGAAGGAGGGCATTTTTGCATGGCGTCGAAGGTGAGCTGGAAGGGTCAACCCTTCGAGAGGAGGGGGAAAACTGCCCCCCCCACCTTGAAAAGCTGCTGCTGTTGATGTTGTTGATGATGAGGGCGCCCATGTTATATTCCGGCTTTTGTTCCGCTAGAGATTTTAAATTCCACCAGAATTGCCTAGGCAGTGCCTACCTCGAGTTCATTGCCAGGCGGTGGAGCTCCAGGGGTTTTCTCTTGAAGGACACACTGGTTTCCCTCCTGGTCTTCGCTGTTGATTTTCACCCTTTATGGGATGGAGGGGACAGCAGAGAGAGAGAGAGAGAGAGAATCACCCGGGAAACCACCCTCCTCAGCTCTGCCACCTGTGCAGTTTCAGTGAGAGAGCTTGATGCCCTTTTGATCGCTCCCCCGGGAAGAAGGTCCTCACCACCAGCATCATGATGGTGGAGGGGCACGGTGCCAGACCACCCAAGGAGCTTTGAAGCTGGACTAGGATTCGAACCCGAGATCCTCTAGTCCAGCGGTCTTGGCGCCTGACTCGTCCTTCCGAACTCTCTTCTCCCGCC